GTTTTCGCCCCCTCCAGCCCCTACGAAAACCTCTTTCTCAAAGCTAAAGGTCCGGATCACGTTCCGCACATGTGTTATTTTACTCACACTATGTAGCTACTGCTCACACTCCACCTCCCTTTACATTTCTCTCTTTACTCACTCTTTTCTGAACCATGATGACGTAACACACTACTTTCAAGTAAACTGCTTTTCGATTTCGACTCATGCCCCGGAGCTACAGTATTTCAAGCTGGAATTCCTGAAAAAATAATATAACTCCCCACTTGAGTTTTGCATTAGGACAAAAACTATCTGCGTTTTAACATCTCAGTAGCTATGTTTCCATTAAGTTGTCCAATGATTTTTTGGTCAACATTTAGAAAGTTGGCATAGAAAATAGATTAGAAAATTGCCTGCTACGGTGCGTTTCTATTTTACTATCTTGTGTCGATAAAAACAGCTAGACGTAATAAAGCCACACCTAATAAAAGTGGTTGAAGGGTTTTCATTACCCATTTAGGCAAATTGCGCATTAATGCATTGGCTACAGCCTGTATGCCCTCCCACCTATCTGTTTCATGCTCAGGTAGCCCGCGAAAGCCAGCATGGATAGAATGCAAGAATAAACAAATATTTGCCATATTCTAATATTTCTCATGTGCCAACGTATTGCCACGGTCCATGCCATGGTGAAACTTGCACTCTTGTAGATCTGAAATAATTGGATGGTGAAACAACCAGAAAAGCAAGGCGAAGCAATTCAGGCATTCTTGAAAGTCAGGACAATCCTTGTCCTGCAAAGAAACATTATTTTTATAGTTGAAAAAAAGTATTTTGAATTAAATGTGGAGTGGAGCTTTATAGTTACATGATGACGTGCCTCGCGTACATTCAAAAATTTTCGGCAATCATAATTTATTTGAAAAACACCTGATCAACTAATGTGAATTCATCTTGAAATCATATTTTGTCGCAATAAAATGTTGTCGATCTTTAGAACATTTCTCCCATATCTGCCGTTTCCATTACACATTTCGCAATAATATATTTTTTGCAACACTGCTTTGGTCGAATAAACCTGGGTCAATGGAAACCTGCCTAATGATCATGCAAGTACCGCACAAGTAGGCTACCTAGCTGTTCCACCTATGGGCAGCCGAATGTTCTAGGGAGCCTGAGCATGTGTATCCGGACCGGCGGGAACCAGAGTCTGACAATGGGTGAGTTGGTTTTGCATCACCTGGTGCCCGGTGCACTATTATTCCTTACGTCATTTGTCAACTACTGATTTAGACTGCCTACTATTTGTAATTATAATCTTCATAGTTATGTTGTTATATCTTAGCGAGAGTTGCTGAAAAACGAACCAGCCAATGTTTGCAATGATAATGAGAAAATAATTGCTATTTTTACTGCCTGTATGTGTCTTGCGTGTGTTTGATATGCTTGCCTAAATATACTGTTACAACAGACAACAAAGTTTGCACGAACATGTCGATCATGTCTTTAGTGTAGCCTACAACATAAGGTTTCCCCCTCCATGTCAATGAGGGGTAAGCGGCAGTGGAGCAGTGGGAGCACTGAGTAGAAGCAATTTACGCAGCAGAATGTCCTTCACATGCGCAGATATCTCTGTATAAAAGACCACGGCAAGTTGCGTTGCAGAAAATCCGGAACCGCCGCCACTATGTTTAACAAAAGGGAACCATATTTTTAAATGGCTATATATTTATCTCAATACTATTGGACTTTTAGGCTGTTAGGTTGACCGTGCAGCCAGCAACTAAAAACACTGTCAATGAAGCATGCCATTGGTTCTACTCCACTTATCTCTCAATGTTCGTACTGAAAACCAATGGGCTAGATCTGGAGAAAAAAAACTTGAATAAGAAGGTGAATGACCAAAAAGGCTCGAAGTGACATGACTGGCAAAAAAAATCAATCAAAATAAGAACCCCCTCGATTGATTCCGTCTCCCACTGTCTCCTCGTGATTGAGCTGACTGCTCAGAAATGTAGCTCTCATCCATGTAGATGAATGCCACATTTCAACCCGTCCATTCTCATTTCTCATAGGCAGGGCAGAGAGTATTATGACCCCCTTCTCTCTTTCCACAATGGGCCCTTGTCTTAGACAACATTTGGCGGGCTCACGGGTATTCGGGCGTTCGGCCCTGAAGCATGCTGGTCCGTCATCACCGTGCGCGGTGCGGTAACCGAGCTGTGGCCAGAGCACTGTCCGAATCCATCAGTGTCCATCCTGGGTTTCAAGGAGAGAGAGAGAGAGAGAGAGAGAGAGAGAGAGAGAGAGAGAGAGAGAGAGAGAGAGAGAGAGAGAGAGAGAGAGAGAGAGAGAGAGAGAGAGCGAGAGAGAGAGAGAGAGAGAGATGGACATTTTCAGAGTGAAGGTAATTTTCCTCTCTAGTGGTCAATAAGATGGAGACAGTGGCCTTCCAACTCAAGGTCCTATTCAGTATGGCTGAATACTGGGGAAGCAGTAGCTTGAGGTTGAAGAGAGACGGGCAAGTAACTGGAGGTTTGCCTGTTTGAATCCCAGAGCTGACGTGGGAAAATAGGGTGTAAGTGAGCTGGCAACTAAAGGGTTGCTGGCATAATAATAGCAGGTGCCACCTGCTGCTGTTGTGCCCTTGACCAAGGCACCTTACCTCAAACCTGCTCCAGGGGCAATGCTCTGTGGCTGTGACTATGCTTCCAGCCTCCTCTGTGTGAATATATGATGTCCAGGGGGTTAGGAATAATGCAAGACAGCAAAAAGACACATTTCTGATTCACATTGGACAATACACTTGTATTGTGTTGTGTTCTGTTGGGATTGTATTGTACAGTGAGAGATATCCAACATGAAATTATAATTGAACTGAAACCTCACTACAGACATTTTTTGGATTAACTACATACCCACTAGGCACAGACATCAGTTCAAGGTCTATTTTTGATTTACATTTGGTTGAGTTGTCAACTAATGTAAATTCAATGTGAAATCAACAGAAAATGCCACCATGACATTGGATTTAGGTTAAAAGTTGGGTGGAAAAATAGTAAATTCCCTTACATTGATGCCTTTTTGCAAATTCAATCAGTTTTCCACATTGATTCAATATCACCACATTGACTTTTTTTGTTGAAATGATGTGCAAGCAGCTTTGATTCAACCAGTTTTTGCCCAGTGGGTAGAGATTACTTTTTGTGCATCCTGTTCATTGTCTATGTTGTTGATGATTTGTGTTGAAATTGCAAAGAAAGATCTGACTTTCTCCCGTTTTTTTTTACATAATGTCTGAACACAAAATAAACCACTCTCTGGACTAGAGCCCTTGTATGCAACATGGATCACATGGGTCAGGAGTGTCATCCTAACAGAAAGAGAACAATCAATTTACCATCAACCTGATTGATATGATAATGACGGAACTGTTGTGAAGTGAGGCCTTGTCAATCTTTAAGACCAAAGATAATTTGAGGTGATGCTTTTGGGGAATGAATGTTTAGTCCTTTGGTATTTCAAGACAGCAAATACTGCCACTCTGTGTTTCAAAACAGATGGTGCTTCGACAGAATGCGCCTTAGCAGCAGCATGCACTTCAAAGCTCATCATATTGCTCGTGAAGAGAACTTTAGACATTTCCACCCTTAGACCATAGGTCGGGCAGAGTTTTATATAAGTGTTTCAAATATAGATAGTATCATTTCATATCGCCGCACTTGCAATCGACAGCAATGCATTAGTGAAGTCAAGCGCACAGGCACTTGCTCTTAAGAAAAACGCGCACTGCAGTGTGCAGGTGTCTCTCAAAAGACAACGGGTTTACTTGATGACAATGTGTTACGCCAACAGAATAATTTAATTTGTTTTTCACAAATTACCGTTTTGGAATTACAGCCCCTAACGTGTCCGATTTGACGACGTTTCTTTCATTCAATGTGTTCTTGAGCGTAACCGGGAGGATGCATTGGCAAGCAGAGGGTCTTCACGTGGGATCCGCTGACCGCTATGTCACCTCTGTGGCATCAGTGATGTTTGTGGGGTCTGACACGCTTGACAAATCGAATGAACCATGGTCTTTTGAGCGTAGGCCTATAAGTGTTTCAAAGTGTGTTCTGTCCATTATTTACCCAGTGCTGGGTTGTTTTTAACCCAACAAATTGAAGCCGTTGTAGATATTTTTTATTCAAGTTTTGGGGGCTCATATTTTAAAGTTACACCTTATTAATGATTTCCCCAGGAATTAATGCGCATGTTGGTGCATAGGCTAAATAGGCTATTTGTTATTATGCATTAAACTATATCGAGAGCAAATACAGCTGAAAAACGAATAAATAATTATAAAAAATAACCAACATGTATTTTCAAAAGTTTACAATTATATAAATTAGGCCTGCCAAGACAGCACATTTTTTGAATGGTGTTTGATACACTTTCCCCCACAATATGATAATGCTGAGTGGGCTAATCATTCCACACAAACTCTGTTGCATCTACCAAGTTAGGTCTTGGTTTCTTTGGAACTCATTGTCCAACCTCATTTCATCGCGGTGGGTGGTTGGCATTTTAATATAGTCTCATGTTGCTGCCAATGTCACACTTCAACAGTTGTGAAATACATATAATTTCTCATTTTCAATCAGTTGAGTACTGTTTTGGATGCAAACCAGTCCTAATGCCGCATGGTATAACAATAATGTAATAAAACAAAATCTCATTAATTTAAGCCACAATGACCAGTGTGTGTATCATTTAATTAATAATGTAGTATGAAGTGCTCCTCAAGCCGCAGGTACGCAAAAAATAAACGACATTGGCAAGGTACAGGAGGGAGGGAAGACCATTACGCAGGTGGTCATGACATCACCAGTGGCTGGCTATAAAGTCGCGAGTACTAATTCACAGTTAGAGTAGCACATGGGAAGCTTGGAGTAAGGACAGACATAGAGAACCAATTGGTTACCTACCGATATCATTTATCGTGCACAGAGGAATCCTTTACAAAACTTGTCAGAATGAACATCTCGCATTTGGTGGCTTGTGGACTTATGATCACCCTGCTTTCAGTGAGGACAGGGGCGAAGCCTCTAACACCCGCGCAACAGAAGGTGAGGTCACTTCATTGATGTGCGCGCTGCAATTTGTGAGCGGAATGCGTTCTTTGTTATTGCGATTCTTTGGAGAACAATTTTGCATTATGCGCAAGTATAACTCTAATATTGTCCACACTATGGTGCCCCAAAGAACATAAACAACGGATACAAGTGTATAGGCTACTGGCAATGTATCTCTTGGCATGCAGGTTATAATTGCTTTACTTTATCATAAACTAAACTACTGTTCCTTTTTTAACGCGGGCGCTTTAATATTCATAATATTGTTAAATGTATTAGTATTAAGTCTAAAGACTATTGTATTTAAATTACACTGGTCATATTGATGATATGGGTTTTGTATGCTTCTCAACGTACGCATAGGCTATTACTGGAAGGAAAGGCTTGTTTATCAGGGAGATATATGGATAGATAGGCTACTGTGTTTTACAGCAAATCTACAGCCTACTTTCTTCCTTGCATCATTTTGATATTCATGCTGGTACCCAATCGCGCCTTGAGAAGCGATCGACTGAACATCGGATCCTTCCTAAATATAACATAAATATCGACGTATAAGGCGACCAATCATACATTTCATTATACCGCGTATTTTAAACCAGAAAACGTATTTTCCCAACCGTTTGGTCATGAAAGCGCGATGGTGAAAAAGCGCATCTGCCTTCAAGAGACTTGTAGAACAGATATTTCGGAACTGGACATTCTATGCACGAATAGTCCTAACACTATATAGCAGTGAGTAATTAATATATTACTGCACGCGCACCTGTCTTTCCCGCTGCATACAAGAAACCCCAGAAGGAGACTAATTTCTGGCCAGTGTTCGTCGCCTTATTCAACCAATGTGCAATAGGATACACACCGTTTCCCATGCGTTAAAGCGCAACTGTAGCCTATGATCAAACCCAAATTCAGGATTTAGTTTTGAAAGATGAGCCAATTAATTGCAGCATTAATGTGATTTCTATTCAGTAGCTAGTAGCTACACATTTAACAGTGAAGGCTGCTGAGGGGAGGACGGCTCATAATAATGGCTGGAACGGAGCAAATGGAATGGCAAGTGTAGACAGCACTAACATTATACTAGATTAAGCATAATTTCAGAATGGTTTGCTATGGAATTAACATAATTATTTTTATAGGACCAGTTGAAAACAAAAGTGTTAAAAACTGCAGGATTTACTGCTTGCCGACGTAGACAATTGATGTCCCGAATGCGCAGATTTGTTGCCGTTTATCAGAAAAATTCCCAGATGGGCTATCTGCTGACAGATGCTTACCCAAATCGATTCAATTAAGAGTTTAGTATCTAAAGCCGGTGTCTTGTTTCTGTGTCCCAGTCTCTTAGAAGTTTGTTGGGGGAGGAGCTGTCACAGTTCCTGGCGTCTGACGAGAGAGAGCGGAGGATGGAGAACTTGCGCTCCCGGGTACGCTTGCTACGAGACCTGCGCATGGAAACTCGCGCCAAAGGCATGTGGGCGAGCCAGCCCAGCGCACGGAGACACAAACCTAACACCAAGAAAGGGGCCGCGGCCCGGAGTGGCTGCTTCGGACACAAAATGGACAGGATAGGCACCATTAGCGGCATGGGCTGTTAGAGATGGCGTATAGAGACGTGTCGGTAAGTAGCCTAAACTCCCGCGGCATATGCTCAATTGCATTTTCTGGGATTGAATCAGGAAGAAGGTCCATCACCACTACCTTATGATGGTAGCCTTTGCTACAAAATCCCCAATGTAGGCTAACTCCTGTGCACATTCCAGATGAGACACACATAGACTACAGACAAAAAGAGTAGCATAGAACAGTTTGCAGTAGCCTAAATGTGACCGACCACCTCGATTTGGTCTTATGTAGCAAAATTTGAAAGTGTTTTTTACATTGGATAAAAGTAGAGACTCAGCTACAAAATGGTATATCATACACTGCAGTTGAGGAACAATGGGAAAGTAATTCTGCTTTGAAAGTTGATAAACTTGTAACCCCACTTTTGAGAAAATGTCCCTTGAACGTTTTGGTACACCTACTGGAGAGCTCTTGGTCTACACCCATTCAGCATCGTTCACACCCTCTTAAGCCTTAGCCCCACCCATCTCTTTAAGGATTCACATGTGAGGCCATGAGGTAAACACAAGCTATATCAAGTAAAACGTTTATTTGTCACATGCAGAGGATACAGAAGGTGTAAACAGTACAGTGAAATGGTTACTTGCATAGTAGCAATATCAAAAACATAAAGTATCCAGATAAAAATATTTTATCATTATTAGATGACGCTTACCCAACACACTTGTCTAAATTGATGTGAAGGAAATGCTATAACCACCCCCCAGCCACATCTAGCTAAGTGGATGGGTCACTATTGTCTAGATATGTACACATGTTCATGAAATACAATAGATGGCTGTAATCACCCCCAGAAACACCTGGCTAATTTGAAGGGTCATGTAGTAATCCGGCCGAAGTGGAGTCTTTTGTTTAGACATGTAGCTAGCTAAACAATGAACCGGCATAATCCCAACTCATACTACTACCAATACAAACATTGTCATAGCTGTAGTATGAATCTGCAGGTAGCTAAAGCTAACAAACTAGGTTCAATGTTAGCTAGCTAACATTAGGCTATAACTAGCAATGTAAATGGATTTCTGATTCGAATAATATTACTACACAGATTATACACTTTACGTTAGCTAGCGAGCCAGCAAGCTAACGTTTGCTAGATAACTAACAGTATGCTTTAACTTGTAATAAAAACGACTTCCTGACTAAATTAGAAACGTATATCTGGAAATTTAGCAAGACTCTTACCTGTATACATGGATGAATGCTTTGCGGTAGAAAGGACTGTCAACACATAGTGAACAGCTCACGTTATAGACAGAAGCATGCTACATGGCAGACCAATCCAAACTCATTTCTTGGCATGTCCAGCCCATCCATTATCTCAGCCAATCATGGCTAGTGGGAAGGATCCTGTCTTTTTCCGTGGCTAAACCAACTAGGTATGAACTAGGTATTCATATTTTTGGATGGAATACACGTTTGTTATTAAGGCACATGGAAGTTCACATGTTCCAGAAGGCATTTCTGCCCAAAAACAAATGTTGATAAAAAAAATACATGTTTACGTTCAAATGCCTCTCCTGTGAAGTAGTGACGTGCGACATGCCTAGTTTCCTGAAACGATTCACAAATGTCCATGTATGCCTGTGGAGGTGATGAGGTGGCCACTTGTGAGCCTGTTAGTGGCCAAAGGTCAATCTTATGTGAGAGGTCAGTGGGGTCACTATGGAACATGTTGCAACTGACCAACAGTGATTGAAACAATGTTAGGGTTACCTTAACCTTCAGTGAAGGGGTAATCCTACAGGCCAATCCTTTTGGTTTAGGCCTACTGACTACTACAAACACATCTTATTGAGACTGCATTAAAAGAAGGATATAAATTAACTTACAAATGCATCTGCTTCTTGATTGAAATCATGAACAATCAATTCCCAAGCAGTCCATCTATATGCTCTCTGCGTATGCATTTATGTGGGACAGTGTGAGAGCATTTCAGGGCAGAACAGCGTGTCCCACTGACGCTCTAACAGAACATCATGCTGACTGCGTTCTCAGGACAAAACCCCATAGAATGAGATCAGGAAGCCGCTCTTGAAATGTTTGAAGTCCGTGGGAAGCAATCCAATTGAATTAGCCATACTCATTGCAATACATCACCATAAGTAATCATATCTGTTGGCTGAAGTCAATGGGACGGATGTGAAGACAATGAGGACATGTAGATGTCAGTGTTAGGCCATAGGCCGTTGATAAACATTAAGCAGAATGGATTGTGGGCACGTGATGACGTCATTGACCAGTCTCTATGTATGTGTGTGAGTGAGATAAAGATAAATAGAGAGAGAAAGAAAGAGAGAGAGCAGGTTCCTCTCTTTGTAGATGGACAGACACACAAAACATTTCACACACACATACACACACGGCACCCTAAATGGAATGTTCCAGGAAACCCTTTTTGCTCAGTAGAAAAAAATAACATTAAAGGGGCGGTATGCAGAATGAAGCAATAAGGAAACCAGGTGACGGGCGCTTTGCCTTTGTGATTGTGTGTGGCTAACAGTGAAATCCTGACGGAGGGGCTGTTGTGGCACCTTCCTTCATGACTCATACTGTTTATATGTGACTAAGTGCATGTGTTTCTTAGGCAGACACCTCTCTTCCTCCCTTTACCAACTTTAAAGTGAGAAGTGGGAGAGGAGGAGAGGAGTATTAGATGGTCAATTCAGTATTGTGTGAGAAGCAAAGGCTGGACTTCATGTGGTTGTTTAGAGTGAGTAGAGCAGAGTGGTGCAGTAAGACTTTAGTTAGAGAGCTTGTTTTAGTGAGGGTGACATGTGATCCCCTTTATTTTGTGGGAACATGTCCATATCTATATCCAGTTTTCTTTTAACAGAACCATCCGTCCAGAGTTTTCAGTGGAGAAAGCCATCTAACCATGTTTTTTCCTCTCCCCTCTCCGCAGAGCATTCAGACGACGGGTTCGACAACTTGGATTCAGTTGGTCCTCGTCTGAGGTAAAAACCAAAAAAGTGACGGATTTTCGGTACGAAAAACCACGATGACCACCATATTCGAGGACTGAGACAACAATGATAAAACCAACCCATATGTATAACATAAAGAAAGACCAACACACACTACAAGATGGCGGACAATGGTGTAAAAACTAGAAACCGCAAAGCTGTATATCGCTGCTGCTGTAAATTCATGTACTTTCATTCCTGCATAAATGTATTTATGTTTGAAAAACTATTTATATGTTTATAAAAGAGATATTTATAAATATTCGTTTTATTTATGTAAAATTTTGAAATGGATGCAAACTGCAGGTAAATTCCGTTTGTAACCTTTTTTTGTCTTAAATAGTTGTAAATGTTTTCAAAATGATTTAAATAAAAAATCCATGCACTTACTAGTCTCCTCACAGTTTTTTTATATGGAGAAAACATCTAATTTCTGGTAAAATAAACTATGGGATAGGGGTGAGACTGAGGCTTTATTCAGTGATAGTGCGTCGCTTATGTAGGCCAACAATTCTCTCCATTGAGTGGTCCCACTGGGCACAAACTGGTTGTTGCAACGTCATTTGTCAACACATTGTGCCGTGAAATCTATGTGGATTTGAAAAAAGTAATCAATGAAAACGCTTTTGTGAAATTTCAACCACCGGATTATGTCATGGTAACCAATTTTCAACATCGACAAACATTGTATAAAATATGTTGAATTTGTTCCTCTGAAAAAACGTCAGATCCTAAACGTAATATCCACTATAAGACATCTTTAGGCTGGAAAGTTAATCTATCTACAGCTACCCTTTCAGTCTCCCATCCAGGGTTTAACCTTGCTTAGCTTTGATATTTGTCACTGTCTATTACCAATGTGCTATCGTGAGAAATATCCACTTAATAGATTCACTGTTGCAATCAAAGACATTCCAAAGGTAGGCCCCCCCCCAGTTAGGGGAAGTGACGAGCTCTACAGCAGAGTCTCAGCACTTAATCGCTGGTTGAAAACTGTTTTCTGCCCCTCCCAAAAGATAACATTTGTGGATAATTGGCCCTCTTTCTGGGACTCACCCACAAACAGGACCAAGCCTGACCTGCTGAGGAGTGACGGACTCCATCCTAGCTGGAGGGGTGCTCTCCTCTTATCTACCAACATAGATAGGGCTCTAACTCCTCTAGCCCCACAGTGAAATAGGGTGCAGGCCAGGCAGCAGGCTGTTAGCCAACCTGCCAGCTTAGTGGAGTCTGCCAATAGCACAGTCAGTGTAGTCAGCTCAGCCATACCCATTGAGACTGTGTCTGTGCCTCGACCTAGGTTGGGCAAAACTAAACATGGCGGTGTTCACCCTAGCAATCTTATTAGGATAAAGACCTCCTCCATTCCTGCCATTATTGAAAGAGATCGTGATACCTCACATCTCAAAATAGGGTTACTTAATGTTAGATCCCTCACTTCAAAGGCAGTCATAGTCAATGAACTAATCACTGATCATAATCTTGATGTGATTGGCCTGACTGAAACATGGCTTAAGCCTGATGAATTTGCTGTGTTAAATGAGGCCTCACCTCCTGGTTACACTAGTGACCATATTCCCCGTGCATCCCGCAAAGGCGGAGGTGTTGCTAACATTTACGATAGCAAATTTCAATTTACAAAAAAAAAAATGGCGTTTTCATCTTTTGAGCTTCTAGTCATGAAATCTATGCAGCCTACTCAATCACTTTTTATAGCTACTGTTTACAGGCCTCCTGGGCCATATACAGCGTTCCTCTCTGAGTTTCCTGAATTCCTATCAGACCTTGTAGTCATAGCAGATCATATTCTAATTTTTGGTGATTTTAATATTCACATGGAGAAGTCCACAGACCCACTCCAAAAGTCTTTCGGAGCCATTATCGACTCAGTGGGTTTTGTCCAACATGTCTCTGGACCTACTCACTGCCACAGTCATACTCTGGACCTAGTTTTGTCCCATGGAATAAATGTTGTAGATCTTAATGTTTTTCCACAAAATCCTGGA